AAATGATTAGGGAACCCTGGTCCTAACACTGCAAACGATCTATCTATCTATCTATCTATCTATACCTCTATCTATATCTACATCTACATCTACATCTATATCTATATCTATATCTTTATATATATATATAAGGATCCTTGATAAAGACCCAAGGTTCCTTAAGCAGGAACAACACAATAGCACCCAAGCAGAACACCGTAAACCTCTTAAGGCAAAATCCAAAAGGGCTATAGGGTTTAGGGTTTAGGGGTTTAGGGGTTTAGGGTTTAGGGTCCAATGCCAAACTTTAGGCGAGTAGACTCAGATCGGTGAGGTTTCTAAAGCAGTCGGGCAGCCCGCCGCAGCAGTGCTTCGGCAGCAGCTAGTCGCGACCATTCGCGGCATATGCCTCGCAATCTCCACCTGTGCATTGTACGCTTTTCCAACGGTGGCTCTCAGATGCAGCAGGCCAAACAAGATAGTTCATCCACCAAACTCTACAAATGTACCTTTACCACATTACTTTCTGCAACTACCCATAGTCTCCAAAGTAGTTCCTTTTTGGGGTTACTGTATAGGATCCTAATATAAACCACAAAAAGGAACTACTTTGGAGCCTATGGGTACAAAAATGTTTCCTGCAGTTCGATGTCGAACTGCCGTCCGACAAAAACGAAATCGTCCTGCCGCTTTGCGCCCAGGCGCAGGGGTAACGGCAAGGGCCCGCGCCGCACCCGCCGAGGGGCTGAAAGAAGGACCCCGGCCGGCCGCCTGCCTCGGAACAATTGTGTAGTTCTCTAAATGAGGGTCCCTTTTAGGGGTCCTTATATTATAAGGGTGCCGTACAATATTGGGGACCCAAAACGGGACCTTCATGTAGAAAAACTACCCACTTACAGAACGGAGGGGAAGAAGCAGGAAGGCTCTGTTTCTCAAGCGTCCTAAGCCTAAGGAACCCTATAGCTCCCTTTAAGGAACCCTATAGATCCCTTTAAGGGAATGTACATAGTTGCCGAGGCGCCGCTGCGAAACTTTGTCGCCTCCGGCGGCTGGTTGGCCGAGCACCTGTCAGATCCAACGACTTCCGAAATCCATGTGGCGCTTTGCTTAGGGTTTAGGGTTTAGGGTATAGGGTTTAGGGTTTAGGGTTTTCGGTCGAATAATTCGCACCGGGTCTCAGTTTCCGGTTAGTTTCGAGGATTAAACAAAATCAGTTTTCCAGGTCGCTCGGCAGAGGAAACCATCCCAGTCCTTTCCCAGGACCGCTTAAACGCTGAAGCCTTGCAGCAGGACTTTCATCATCCCAAACTGCCCCAAACCTGTGACCAACATCATTCGAGCTCTGACTAGATTGTTGCTTTATAACATACTGGCCATACTGTACGAAAAAACAGTCTATCTTATTTTCCATTGCATTATGCTGTTGGAATCCTAAACCCCTACACCGCTAAACCCCTAAAACCCCGAAAACCCCTAAACCCCTAAAACCACTAAAACCCCTAAAACCCCGAAACCCCCTAAACCCCTAAACCCTAAAACTTCACAGATTGGAATCCGGAAGTTCAGCAATGCCAGCTTACCACAGCAGCTGGGCCGAGGTGCGGCTTGCCGAAAGGGTCGCCAGTCATGGATGAAGGGCAGCGCTCCAGTTACGGTTTAGGGTTTAGGGTTTAGGGTTTAGGGCTTAGGGGTTGGCTTGCTTGTCACTTGTCCAACAATCCTAGGAGGACTAACCCTAAGGCTCAAAATAGCCCAAAAGCCTTATTCATAGTATGGTCTTTGGGCCCAAAAGCCTCAAAATATGAGTCCTTAGAGCCTTAGGGTAAGGGATCATGTTCCGTTTGTTTGTAGCACCCCAAAACGGTTGAAGGCCACCTACTCCACTGCTAAGTCCAAGGGCGGCAGTTGGCGCATTCAAGGAGAAGAGCAGCCCTGCAAACAAGCAATGCCCAAGCAATCAAAATCACAGTTAAAGGAAACTACAGGTGGGGAGTTTAGGGTACATAGGGCTTCTATACGGCTTCCATAAGGTATATAGACCTTCTATAAGGCTCCTATCAGCATAACTACGCACCTGAAACTGTCCTAGACATAGCTGAAGCAGAAGTCACAGCCTGACACTTCTGTATCCTGCAGCACTACTGCTCAATCTTGCTCCGCTTTCGGACGCCACAGGCCCTATCAGAGTCCGATGAGCGCTGTCTGTGGCTTCCGCCACCAACAGGAATAAGCGAGTGACCCTAAACCCTAACCCCTTAACCCCTAAACCCTAAACCCTGGGCCCCTAAACCCCTAAACCCCTGGCCCCAAACCCCTAAACCCCTAACCCTAAACCCCTAAACCCGATAAACCCTGGGAGACGGCTTATTTCCTTTCCAGAGCTGCGCAGGTCTGGAGGTTGTCTCCGAGCCACTTGCGCCGTTCAAGAGGAAGGGTCCGGCGAACTGGCGAGGTGATGGGGTTTAGGGTTTGGGGTTTGGGTTTAGGGATTAGGGTTTGGGGTTTAGGGTTTAGGGTTTGGGTTTAGGGATTAGGGTTTGGGTTTTGGGGTTTAAGATTTGGGTTCAGGGTTTAAGATGTAGGGTAGGAAGGAGTCGGCAAGTCTTTACCTAAAGGTTCATGGGACTTGGTAGCAAAGGTGTTCGAAACAGGGTAATTATCCTTGTACTTACTCACTTATAACCCCAGGTAGTAAATCCTTAGAACCGGAGATCATGACAGTCGTTCGTGGCTTCGTCCTTGCGTTTAACATCTAGCTCTTAGCTCTTGGTGTCATGTACCCGCGTCTTAGCGCGAGAAGCCTTAGCGTCTCTCAGGGGCTCAGCCGTTTGGCGAACTCCTCCGGTGCACTGCAGGACGGCCGCGGCACCATGTCCTCGCAGCTCTTATGGCGGTGTTCACGCTGAAAAAAATCTCAACGTGACAGGACTAGTAACACCAATAGTACTACTAATACCAATACCAGAAAATGACAGTGGTAGCAAGAACAGCAGTCATGCTTGGTGCAGTGAACAATTAGGCTCCCTGGTGCAGCAAAGGTCAAAACATGGAAGTTGGGTAGGCTTTACATGAGGCCTCTGACCCTAAACCCTAAACCCTAAAACCTAAACCTTAAACCCTAAAACCTAAACCCTAACACCTAAACCTTAGACCTCTTTCCAAACCCGGCCCTCCCACAGCTCACGCTGTGCAAAAGCGCAGTATGTCATCGAACCTGGTCGATCCAGACCTTCGGTCCTACTGTAGGGGCCTTAATAATTAGAATAGGGTTTTGGGGGTTCCTTATTATAAATATAGTAGAATATACCCCAAACCCTATTCTAACCATTAAGGCCCCTATATTACATGTCGCGCTGGCCTGCAGGAAGGTGAAGCCTCCAGCCCTTGACTCCCTCATGGCAGATGAGGGTGGTTCTCTAAAGTAGGGTCCTTTTAGGGGTCCTTTTATAAGGGTGCCGTACTATATTGGGGATCTAAAAGGGGCCCTACTTTAGAGAACTGCCCATGAAACGATCCTAGTTGCAGCTGTGGAAGCTTGGAAGACGCATCTTTAAATCTTGGAGCTAGGCTTGAGAGTGTCTGTATGTTAAACCCTAACCCTAATTCCCAAACCCTAAACCCTAAACCCTAATCCCCAAACCCTAAACCCTACTCCCCAAACGCTAAGCCGCCAGTCTCCCTTGGACAGCTAAAACCCCTAAGCCGGTCCGACAGCAGCAGGCCCAAAAGACGACTGCCGCTGTAGGGCGTGCGGCCATGGACTACTCTGAGGTTGTCAAGTACCAAGACCTTCGGTTTCAAGGGCATCGGAGCCGGGGTTTGGGCCTTAGGGTGTAGGGTTATAGGGTTATAGGGGTTTGGGGTTTAGGGTTTAGGGGTTATAGGGTTGAGGGTTTAGGGCTGTGGGGTCTAGGGTTTCGGGTTGAGGGTTTAGGGCGTGGGGTTATGGGGTTTAGGCGCTCTGGTCAAGCTCGCTATGGAAACCATGCATTTCTGCACAAACTGTGGGCTGGTTCTCTTTTCTGAGAAAGCGCAGGAGACTGAACCCGTTTAGGGTTTAGGGTTTAGGGGGTACAGGTTTAGGGTTTAGGGTTTAGGGTTTCGGGTTTAGGGGGTACAGGTGTTGGGAACGTCGATTCACGATTGGGGGGAAGCAGGATTTATGTTACAGCTGCCAGTGGTCACAACTCGCAAAGGCATCCCACACTACAACAGTGACTTGCAGAGAATCGCAGGAAATCTGGTAAACCTATACAATACAATACAATACTATACTATGCAATACTATACTATACGATAATCAATTGCTAAGTAGGTTTTCGACTGACGCCTGCAATGCAGCCCTGTCACATCACCGGCATCCAGTCGGATGTACTCCTCAGCTCGCCCCGACCGGACGACTTGCTGTACTGTATCATATCATAACATATCATGTCATATCGAATCAAATCGCAATGTATCAAATTTTACTATATTATATTCTACTACATAAAACTGTCTAAACCTGTGCTATACTACATTCGACCACAATGTACTATAGTATCCAGTACTGTACCATACTAAACTATACTGTGCTATACTACTATACTATACTATACTATACTATACTATACTATACTATACTATATACTATACTATACTATACTATACTATACTAACTATACTATACTATACTATACTATACTATACTATACTATACAAAGGTATACTATACTTTTCTCCTTTGCTATACTATACTATACTATACTATACTATACTATACGATACGATACTATACTATACTATGCTATGCTATGCTATACTATACTACACTATTCTGAATATTTACTATATAATAGTACTGTATTCTATTAGGCTATACTATACTACATTATACTATATCATAAATATATTTTAACATGCTTTACTACACTAAACTATACTTTTGCTAGACTATAGTTAATTTTTTGTTAACATGTCATATCATACTATATTATACAGTATCAGAACATCACGTCCGGCCGGAACCTCAGCTAAGATGCTGTGCTGTCACTGTAAGCCTTGCGAATCTCCGAAAGCTCCTGGCGGTGCAGTGATGGAGAGGGCTTCGAAAAGCAGAAGAGGCTTCAAGAGGGTTTTCGAAGCCTTTTTTGTTTCGTCTCCAAAATAGGCAAGTTTGCACGCTGCTGGCTCATTTCCATCGCAAGGTTGTTGCGACTTACTTAAATTCGGCTCTCCGTCCACGTTCGACGATCCAAGCTAGCACCTCATCCTCACAGCCTCATACCTCTTGGGCCTCTTCAGAAAGCTCCGTGCCATCGCCCCAGACGCAGTGATAAGGCCGTTCGCTGTTGGGCAGCTTTCCTGAGACTCCGAGTAGAACATAGGAGCCTGGATAATTGGAATAGGGTCTTGTTGTACAGTCTACCACAAAAGGGGGGCTTTATGGAGAGAATGTGAGATTTTGCCGCGAAAGCTTATTGCCACGGAGACCTCTGCGGTTCAAGACAATGCCGAAGCCTGCGGCCAGGATTCCGAAGACCGCATGGCCGTCGAGCCAAGAGCCGTGTCGGTTCAGCCTAGTCCCAGAAAGGTTGAGGCTTCAGGGGGTTTAGGGTCCAGGACCGTTTAGGGTATATATATATATATACATATATATATATATATAGAGTTTAGGTTGGCAAACCCCCAAACCGCCATCGGTCCGGCGGGCTCTCCCGCCAAAACGGCCCGGAATTCTACTGCTATTAATATTGTTATCATTAGTATTGTTATGATGATGATTACTATGAATTATGATGATTCGTACTGTTACTGCTCTTATGATTTTCATGATAATCAGACGAATGCGAGAAGCCCCAAAACTTCTGGGCATCGGGGCCTCAAACCTTGGGTTGACAGTAGTATACTGTAGGGGCCTTAAGTAATTAGAACAGGGTTCATTTAAAGGGATCCTTAAAGGGTTCCATAAGGCATCTATGATAAGGGTCTATGTTATGGGCCGCAATATTTAGAATAGGGTTTAAGGTAATGCAGGATTTATATCATCGACAGTATGATGTAGGACCCTCAAGCCTAAACCCGAGACCCTAAACCCTTGGACCCTCAACCCCAAACCCTGGACCCCAAACCCGAAACCGTGGCTTAGCGGCAGCGAGTTGAAGAACAGCTCACCGTGGACTGGATGGTGGTGGAAGACTGGACCTCGGGGAAGGATTGAAGCTCTGATGTAGGGGCCTTAGCAACGGGGTTTAGGGTTTGGTAATGGGGTTTTGGGGCACATTATAGTACCTAGCTAGTATACTTATACCCTAAAGCCTAAACCCCAAACCCTAATCCCTAAACCCCAAACCCTGAGGAAGAAGTTGGCAATGTTGCTTAGAAGTTGCTTTGCTCCGGCTTTCAAGATTCCACCTGTTGGGACCGCAACTTTCAGATTGCATGGGTTTAGGGTTTACCTAAACCCCCAAAGGTAGGTAACATAATGGCCCAAAACCCATAAAAGGCTATTATTCTACATACTTTTGGGGTCCAGGTAGGGTTTAGGGCTGCTTGGAATGTCTTGGAAGCCTTGGCGATGCCATGACGTTCCTTGGAAGTGCTGGCAGAGTCAGGCCTTGTAGAAGCATTGGCCGCAGGCGAGGCGTGCCGTTCAGGCTTCACAATAAGTCAACTTGTACAGTGTTGGATTGTGATCTTGATACAACCGGAATTTCAACAGAAAGACACATCGCAATGCAATGCAAGTACAAGAAGCCTGAAGCCAATACCTTCACATTGTGGTCCACGTGATATATTCAAGGATTTCATTCCATCAACATCACTGACATGCGTGGAGCACTCTGTCTTCCGCTTTCCTTGGCCTAGACTTTCTTGAGGGGCTCAGGCTCCGCCCACTGAAACTGATGTCCCAACGAAGGAAACTGCAGGAATTGAAGACCAGATGCACCAAAGCGTGTGGCGGAGTCTTCGGCCATCTGAATGAGCCTATCCAAACAGCAACTGGAACGAGCACCGGATCAAGAAAATGTCAAGCCAAACCCTATTCCTTGCCGTATATGCATATGTTCGGAAAGCAGCAATACTGATTCTCGATAGTCGGAATAGTGGTGGCGGCGGCGGCGGCGGTGGCGGCGGCGGCGGTGGCGGCGGTGGCGGTGGCGGTGGCGGCGGCGGTGCTGAGGGGCGGCGGCAGTAGTAGCGGTAGCACCAGAAACAGTAATGGAAGGAAGCAGAGGCAGCAGCGGCATAGTAATAGTAGCGGCCACAGAAGAAGTAGTCGTCCTGGTGGGCGTAGTCGCAGTGGCAGCAGGAGGAGGAGGAGTAGTAGTCGCCGTCGTAGTAGCAGTAATACTGGTAGCAGTACAGTAGAAGAAGCAGCAGCACTAGGAGTCGGCAGCAGCAGCAGCAGGAGGAACAGCAGCCAGTGGACCGAGAACAGCATCAGTGCAGCAATGGGGATGATGCTCGTCTTGACAATGGCCGCCGTTACCAGGCAGCTCTTGATCATGACCACTGGAGTGATCATGACGACCGTCATCATTATGACAGCCATCGCGGGGACGGGAACATGAGGGCTCTCGGTGGCGAGCATGACCCTGATTCTTGTGAGCACCATCATCATCATCATCATCATCGTCATCATCATCATCGTCATCACCATCATGAACATCATCGTCACCATCTTCATCATCGGCTGCAGCAGTGCTGAGTTGTTCATGATCATGCGCCAGCAGCTAAGACAAACTGAGAAGATGATCACCCATATACAGTACAACACGATGGCATTTGATAGCATGCAGTCCGCAACAAGTGATGTCAAACAGGCCTTAGAAACTGCCTACTTGCATATAGATAAACAAACATACATACAGACATACAAACACACAAACAACCACGCAAACAAACAAACAAACAAACAAACAACAACCAACCAACCAACCAACCAACCAAACAAACAAACAAACAAACAAAGAAACAAAGGAACAGACAAACAACAAATCCAAAACAAAGGACCGAAAAAACGAACAAACAACACAACATACATACATACATACATACATACATACATAATACATGCATACATACATACATACATACATACATACATTCATGCATACATGCATGCATGGATACCTCTGCATGCATGCAGACAGACAGACAAGCAGATCGACCGACAGACAGACAGACCGACCGACCGACAGACAGACATGCACACACACACACACAGAGACGCATCTGCATGTTTGTATATATTGTACCTGTACATACACATGTGTGAAAGCATCCGCACTGCAAAAATCCGTTAATGCAAAAATGCTCATATGTACCTCCACAGAATGCAAGCCCATGCGGGCAAACCACTACTGCAAACCCAAACCCCCCGATGCCCCACTGAATGGACTGCCTCGAGGATGGAAAAACTGGCTTTATTGTTGCCTTTCCTGAGCTCGGGCTGAATCAACGGTAGACCAAAACCCAAGAACCTAACCCCTAAACCCAAACCAAGACAGGGCTCTGAACCCAGTGGTTGGGAGTAAAGGCTTTGGAAGGTTCCGGAGCCTCCGGCATTTGCAAAGACAGGAGCCTACAAAGAAGTCGGAAAGGTTCAGAATAGGTTCCTTGGAAGGATTCTTCAGAAGGCTCTATTGGAAGCGTTCCTACAAGGGCTTACTGTAGGGGCTTAGAGGTTATGATAAGTACTTTGAGAAGTGTTGGTAGTTGTGCTGGCTTGTGTATTGTGGGCGTTGAAGTAACCAGGGAGATGCAACAGGTACCAAAACCAAGTATTTAAGTAGGGTACTCCAGAACCCCGTGTTACCTGTCGATGGGACGAAGAATCTGCAGCAGAGCGGTAAGCCTTTTAAAAAGTATCGACGCCCTAAACCCTAAACCCCAAACCCTCAACCTCCATCGACCCACCCCTTTGTTCCGCCATCCTTCCCCACCGACCAAAGCACATCCAGGGTTCCTCTAGCGGCTGGAGATAGGAAGTATCATTACCCCAAACCCTAAACCCTAAACCCTAAACCCCAAGACCCTAAACCCTAAACCCTAAACCCCTGAACCCCTAAACCCTCAACCCAAGACCCCCAAGACCCTAAACCCCTGAACCCCTAAACGCAAAGACCCCCAAGACCCCCAAGAGCCTAAACCCCTGAGCCTCTGAGCCTCAAACCCCTAAACCCTAAGCCCCTAAACCCTAAACTCCTATAGACCCTAGACCCTAAACCTTAAAATCCCTAAACGCTAAACCCTAAATTTCCTAAATTCCCCAAACCCTAAACCCTGAAACCCAAAAAAAGGGGTCGCCTAGGGTCTGCATGGCCTCCTCAAGGCTCTTCACCTGAAAGGCTCCCTGCCAGGAGTTGTAGAAGTCCTTGGAATGGGTTTAGGGTTTAGGGTTTAGGGATTTTAAGGTTGGGTCTAGGGTTTATAGGGGTTTAGGGTTTAGGGGTTTAGGGTTTAGGGTTTAGGAGTTGTAGAAGTCCTTGGAATGGGAGGTCTTGGGCTTAGAAGAGGTTTAAGGCTCAGGGTTTTTGGGGATTTATGGCTCAGGGTTTTGGGGATTTTTTTTGAACTCCTTTTTGGGGATTTAAGGTTTAGGGTTTTGGGGGTTTAAGGCTCAGGGTTTTGGGGGTTTAAGCTTTAGAGCTTAGAGATTTGAAGGTTTTAGGGTCTAGGGTCTATATATAAGGGTTTAGGGTTTAGGGGTTTAGGGGTTTAGGGTTCAGGGTTTCGGGGTTTAGGGGTTTAGGGTTTAGGGGTTTAGGGGGTGTGCAAGAAGAGCAGTGGTTCATAGCTCATGCAGAAGGTAGACCTTCCCTTGAACGGTTTAGGGTTTAGGGATTTTAAGGTTTAGGGTTTAGGGATTTTAAGGTTTAGGGTTTAGGGTTCCCTTGATTGATGCCAAAGCTGGCACAGGATGGGCCAGTTGTATAAGGGCTAACTTACTTCCCCAATAAGCCAGGGAAATAAAAAGTTAAACTTTCAGATTGCTACCAATTTATAAGGACTCAAAAACTGTAGAGGTTGGGTATTGGGGAACCTAGTTAAAGATTTAGGTTTGTTTTTTGAAGCCCTTTTCTCCCCAATCCACTCTCGCGCATCTCCGAAAGAGGCCGGACGGCAGGTTTAGGGTCTAGAGGGCTGATCCCGTGAGATTTTGTGCCAAGGCCAAGCGTCTGGAGCGTCTCTCTCTGCCTCATCATGCAGATATCTTATGTACTGCACACCCAGCCGGCGGAATTTGTCCAGCAGGCCCGCGGGAAGCCGGCCTTGTACCTCGCAGCGTCAGCTCTTACTGGCGGCTTCAGACCCTGGACCTTATAAACCCTAAACCCTGAATAAACCCTACACCCTGAACCCTAAACTCCCTAAACTCCCTGAACTCCCTAAACTCCCTAAACTCCCTAAACCCTGAACCTTAAACCCTAAACCCTGAACCCTAAACCCGAAACCCTAAACCCTAAACCCGAAACCCTAAACCCAAAGGCCCTAAGGGTTTAGCCCAATCAGGGTTTTTGTGCTGAAGTTCCGTGGCTGCTATCTGCCTGACATGCTGTTCTGGAACCCCCACGGTCCTAAGGGCCCATGTACCCAAATAAAGGTTAAGGGTTTTGGGTTTAGGGTTTAGGGTCTAGAGATTCAAGGTTTTTGGTTTAGGGTTAAATTTTATATACCCTGGGGCTCCTAAATACCTCTAAAGTTTATACTATTTGGGTACATGGACCCTTAGGGGAAGCTATCGTGCTGCTCCGAACACCCTCCACCCCCCCAAGACCGTCGGACAAACCAGCCAAGCCGCAACCAAGTTGTCCGCCAAGGTGGTAGTGCCGTCAGTGTCCGCTTGCCGCACCATTGCAAACGTGACGTATTTGGGATACTCGGTGGCATAAGCCATCTCCTGGGTTGGGTTTAAAGCTTAATGTAGGGGCCTTAGCAATTAGAATCGGGTTTGGGGGCAAATTATACCATGATTATAATAATAAGGAACCACCAGAATAGTATAGTCAATATATTAAAACCCCTACAATACCTGAACCAGAAGGACCTACTCTCTCTAGGGGACCCTTAATAGGAGCTCCTACTCCAAGTCCTTTCAAGCTGGTAGGGTTCAAGGTTAAGGGTTTAGGGTTTAGGGTTTAGGGTCCGGGGAAGGTTCAGCCCCTCTGCAGCGGGCAGGGTTCGGATGAACTACACTGTTCGGGGACCTCAGAAAGAAAAATGATGGTAGGTAGGATGAAGTATCCCTTATGAGAAAAGGAGCTCCAGAACATCGCTCATCGCTGAAACCGGGAGATACTCTGTACAGGAGCACGCATATACATACAGACATACATATGGATACAGGCAAACATATGGGCATGTCCCACGACTCCAACTGCACTAGGAGCAAGAACTCTCTCGGGAAGGGCTCTTGATTGGGGCTCATATCCCGCCTAGTATATGGGCTTGAATAATCATAATAGGGTTTCGGGGGACATTCTACTATGCTTATAATCAGGAACTCCAAAGTAGAATTGGTTCTTCAGGCCCCTTTTTTGTCTACATTCCAGCTATAGAGTCCCCGAACTTTCTATCTTCGGGCTCAGGTCACACTCATGTCCGCGAAGCGATCTGAGCCTTACCATCATGACTAAGGGCCTCAATACCTGTATGGGGGATACTTACCCAAACCATAATAACAGTTCCTACTTTAGAAACCCTACTTTAGGCCATAGAGGTACTCTAAACCCTAAACCCCCTTAGACCCTAAACCCCTAGACCCGAAACCCCTAAACCCCTAAACCCCTAAACCCTAAACCCCTAGAGGCCCTAGACCCTAAACCCTTAGACCCTACACCCCCAAACCCTAAACCCCTAAACCCCTGATTATAACAGCCTAAACCCCTAAACCCTAAACCCCGAGACCGTAAACCCCTAAACCTCCGGAGCCTTTGGGAAAAGCAACAAAGCTTTTGCTGCCAGCCTCTTCTCAGGGACCCTTGACCAGCCAGGGTTGAGGGTTAAGGGAAAAACGCCTGGAACCGGAAAAAAAGAAAAAACTACCTTCTCAAGGAAATTAAGGTGTAGGGTTTAGGGTTATAACGTAGTCATAATTTAATGTTTACTAGCCAGGACCCTAAACCCTAAACCCCTGAACCGGCCAGGGCGCGTTGTGGAACTGTATCGTCAGCTCTTTTGGCGCCCCAGCAGCCGAGTCAACGAAGCCCGTTCCATCGATGCTGGATCTGACAACACCGCCCCGACCGTTGTAGCCTGTGTTGGGGGGTTTAGGGTTTAGGGCGTGTTAGGGTCTAGGGCCACGGTACCCTCACAACACGCCCATCATGACACATGGCCTGTACGCTCACAAAGGGAGGCTGGGCGTCCAGGGCGTGCGTTGGAAAACTTCCGTTCGAGCATGTCGATCCATTGCTTAGGCAGTGTCCGGGTCCTTAAACTGGAATTTCAAACTGCGCCCTTGCCACACTATGAGCAGAAGATGCTTGGATGTGAACCCCAGCTTCAGGTCTCAAGGTTGGCCTCCCCTGCAGAGCCGCTTGTACGAGACATGCACAACGACAGCGGTGTCGACGCACGCCCCGACCACTCCCCAGCAGGCGCGTTAGCTCATGTCCTGCGAAGATGCAAGGCTGCCCTGCTGTCATACGCCCAGCCTCAAGAGACGCGTTGGCCCCAAAGAGTGACGCTGCGGCCAAAGCCAGCCAAGCTGCAAGCAGCTTCCCACACCCGGCCAGCGGTGCGAAGGAGCACAGCCGTTTCGTAAGAGGCTCTGTGCCCCTGTGGGTAGGACAATGCACGCTGTGAAAGTAGGTTCTCCACGCCATGATGTGCGGTTAGTGCATTTCCGGACATGCCGCTCCCAATCTCTCTTCCCTCACAACACGCCCATCATGACACATGGCCTGTACACTCACGACGGGACGCTGGGCATCCAGGGCGTACGTTGGAAAACTTGCGTGAGAGCATGTCGATCCATTGCATAGGCAGTGTCCGGGTCCTTAAACTGGAATTCCAAACTGCGCCCTTGCCACACTATGAGCAGAAGATGCTTGGATGTGAACCCCAGCTTCAGGTCTCAAGGTTGGCCTCCCCTGCAGAGCCGCTTGTACGAGACATGCACAACGACAGCGGTGTCGACGCACGCCCCGACCACTCCCCAGCAGGCGCGTTAGCTCATGCCCTGCGAAGATGCAAGGCTGCCCTGCTGTCATACGTCCAGCCTCAAGAGACGCGTTGGCCCCAAAGAGTGACGCTGCGGCCAAAGCCAGCCAAGCTGCAAGCAGCTTCCCACACCCGGCCAGCGGTGTGAAGGAGCACAGCCGTTTCGTAAGAGGCTCTGTACCCCTGTGGGTAGGACAATGCATGCTGTGTATCTTTCAAAGTAGGTTCTCCACGCCATGAGGTGCAGTTAGTGCATTTCCGGACATGCTGCTCCCAATTTCTCTTCCCTCACAACACGCCCATCATGACACATGGCCTGTACACTCACGACGGGACGCTGGGCATCCAGGGCGTGCGTTGGAAAACTTGCGTGAGAGCATGTCGATCCATTGCTTAGTCAGTGTCCGGGTCCTTAAACTGGAATTCCAAACTGCGCCCTTGCCACACTATGAGCAGAAGATGCTTGGATGTGAACCCCAGCTTCAGGTCTCAAGGTTGGCCTCCCCTGCAGAGCCGCTTGTACGAGACATGCACAACGACAGCGGTGTCGACGCACGCCCCGACCACTCCCCAGCAGGCGCGTTAGCTCATGCCCTGCGAAGATGCAAGGCTGCCCTGCTGTCATACGTCCAGCCTCAAGAGACGCGTTGGCCCCAAAGAGTGACGCTGCGGCCAAAGCCAGCCAAGCTGCAAGCAGCTTCCCACACCCGGCCAGCGGTGTGAAGGAGCACAGCCGTTTCGTAAGAGGCTCTGTGTCCCTGTGGGTAGGACAATGCATGCTGTGTATCCTTCAAAGTAGGTTCTCCACGCCATGATGTGCAGTTAGTGCATTTCTGGACATGCCGCTCCCAATTTCTCTTCCCTCACAACATGCCCATCATGACACATGGCCTGTGTGCACTCACGAAGGAAGGTGTCCGGGTGCCGACAGAACTACCCACAGCTACCAACTCTAGACTCCAGTCCAGTCCCTGCCCCGCCCCTGTGAGAAATCAGACATTCGTTGCAGAAATTTCAGCAGCAATTTTGGGAGTTGCGCTTGGGCTGGCAGGATTTTCGGTAACATGCTTTAGGCTGTGCCACAGGAAGCTGCCTTCAAGAGGGCAGGCCTTCCCTGCAGCGTCACTGTCAGAACCGTTTGCACCGAAGATGCTCAACTTCTGCCTGTGTGGTCCACTCACGAGGGAAGCGCGAGAGACACGTGGGCCCAAGAATTGACACTACCAAGCTGAACGAAGCACGTGGAAGGCCCTGTGCTCCCATGGGCTAGGCTAGGCGACCATAGTATGTCACTCTGAAAGAGGCATTGGCTGCCAACAGGCTGCGTGTTGCACGTGGTGCAACACTGGACATTTACAAACCATACAGCATGCTGAAGAAGATGGAAGTCCTGCAACTTAGAAGATACAGGCAAGTGTGTCGTGCTTGAATTTTGCTCGGACCCCTTGAAGCCAGTTCCAAGATCCAAACCCTGCCATAAAAGCAACCCGAAGCACATCCTCGACTTTCTCGCATCATGGCACACTCGAAGGGAGGTTGAGCGTCCTGCTGTTTGTGACTGACGATTTCTACGTTATACCCAACGTCGAGTCCGAAGTACCCATAGTAGATCTCCTACGTTTCTGTGATAGGAATTGCTACTATGGTTTGGGTAGGTATCCCTCATATAAGTACCCATTGGGATAGTATGTCGATCCAACGTGAACGCGCCTTCAAGCTCTAAATCCCAGGACGGGCCTCCCCTGCAGAGCCGCTTGCACGGACCACCCGTCGACTCCGTGTAGCCGGAGTCGACGCGCGTCCAGACCACTCCCCAGCAGGCGCGTTAGCTCATGCCCTGCCAAGACGCAAGGCTGCCCTGCTGTCATACGCCCAGCCTCAAGAGACGCGTTGGCCCCAAGGAGTGGCGCTACGGCCAAAAGCCGGCCAAGCTGCACGCGGCGCCCCACACCCGGCCAGCGGTGTGAAGGAGCACAGCCATTTGGTGAGAGGCTCTGTGCCCCCGTGGGTAAGGCCCTGAATAAGGGCCTCGAAAGATAGGTTTCATGCCAAACAGGTAGGTTATTGCATGTCCTTATCTTTCATACTTTTCCCTATACCTGTTCCCATAGACACGACCTCAAACACTTCGTTCGATGTGTGAGAAGCCTCCCCTGCACACACTCGTCCACATTGACAGGGGTCGAAGCACGAATCCGCATGTGCAAGACAGGCTACAACAATCGTGTCGGCACCTGTCCAGACCACTCCCCAGCAGGCGCGTTAGCTCATGCCCTGCGAAGATGCAAGGCTGCCCTGCTGTCATACGTCCAGCCTCAAGAGACGCGTTGGCTCCAAAGAGTGGCGCCACGGCCAAAGCTGGCCGTCCCACAAAGGAAGCCCCACACCCGGCTAGCGGTGTGAGGGAGCACAGCTTTTCCTGGAGACTCTGCACTCCCTTGGGTAGGGCGTCGATACCTACTCAACGGCCCATGGGACTTATAACCTCACGTGCTAAGTCCCTTGGGCCTTTAAGATATGTCATCGCAAGACGTGGCTGGGTCGCACATGGTACCAGGTGACTCAGCAGTCAAGCCGAAACGCAAAGCCACTGTCGCAACAAAGATGGACTGCAAAACATGTCGACAATCTCACAAAGCTTGCTTTGCCGCTCACTTTCAAGCAACTCAGACGAGCGCAGTTCTGCAGTTGCTTCACGGACACGTGCAAGGCAACATCCAACCAGTGCTACAAAAGACGCAAGCGAGAACTTGGCATGGGGGCACGGATGGGGCAGCCATGGCACTGCCCACGGTGCTGGGATCCACGTGCATCAGCTGCAAAGCAACCTGGCAGAGTCGCTTGGAAAGCAGGGACATGGCAAAGACAATCGGAACTCATGTGACTGTAGTTCTCTAAATTAGGGTCCCTTTTAGGGTCCTCTTTATACGGGTGCCGTACTATATCCCAGCAACTGCAAATACCTGTGGACCATCGTAAACAACTCCTTTGCTCTCATCTGCAACACTGGCCCTCTAGTGGGTCCATTACAACAGGCTTAGCTGAAGATGCTGCCAGACAGGCCTACAGTGCGGAGAACAACACCAAGCCGTTCCCGAAGCTACTTGACATGGTTCAACCTTAGACACTGAGACGCTTTTGGAACTTCTGTATAGAAATGCGCATCGACCGTGAACTGCTTTTCAAAAGGCTGCTGACCTACCCCAGGCATGCTCGACGTGAGGCGACGGACGAGAAACTGGCGATGCACATGACAGCGAGAGAAAGAGTCGGTGCTCCCAGAGAACCCAAGACCCCTTATTAGCTAAGGAATTGAGCTTTTAAAATCATAATTATGATAATGCTCCTATGATTTAATTTAGATTCCATAATTAAGGGTGTGTTGGGTTCTCTAGTCTCCGGGTGCTAACTCATTGAAAGTGTGCTCTTCGCGTGCGCTCGTCGTCGTCGCCGACACAGCTTTTCCAAGACACGTGTCCAATGGCGAGAGTATTTCAATGGAGGGTTGTCAAGTAGTCTTCGGGCTGTCATTTGCAATGTTCATTATTGCTGGTTCTTAGACAAGTTAACATGCTGCACAACCGCAATATGGTTATTCAGTTGATCGTTACAAAGGCAAGAAGTAGAAGTAGCTTAGTAGTTTGGGTTTCATCACATAAAACCCATGTTGTATCATTCACGACTGCATACGCAGTGCTGGTCCAGCCGCTGCTGGCAAGAATACTTTCAAAAGATGGGAAAGATTCGGCGCTGAAGCGGTTGACATGCTGAAACCAACAGCCAAACCAAGTGCACATACAGTGAAGCCGGTTAACTTAGTTGGAGTAACATACTAACGTAGGTAGTGCTGCCCACCTTCTCCATGTCTCGGACGCTTGCGGCTGCTCCCAGGCGCGAGACGGTGTAACCCTGAGCATGCTCGGCTTTAGTTTAGCGTTTGGGGCTTAGCTTGTTTGAGGCTCTGGTGTGCAAGGCGCCACTCGACTTTCTCGTCGGCGCAGCTGAATAAGCACAGCTCAAGGATTCAGGAGCTCTCTTGTCACCTTTCGACTACCTCCGCTTCTACAGTAGGCCAGAGGCCAAGCTGTCGGACATGGTTCCAGGCACAAGCAGAGGTGTTGAGACGGTGAGGCTTTGGGTTTAAGTTTCAGGGTTTAGGGCTGTGGGTGTAGGGGAGTCTTATCCCTTGTGCAGTGGATGACGCTAGTGATAACATGACTACCACCAAAAACAAAACCATTGACTCACGTCACTGGTTTCGGCGGTAGGTTTTTTTCATCAGATTCTGTTTACTGTGGGTATTGGCATGAAGATTGTTACTATCCTCATTATCATCATACGAACTATATATTGTCATTGCTGCAGGCTGCCATCCCACCTTCTCCGCGATGTCACGGTGAGCTGCTTCCAGTGAGGGTGCAGCGGTCATGCGCCGGACGCCTGCCACGTTGATTGCAAGTGCACGAGAGAGCCTTGGGGCCAGCACATTCCCTGTCGGACGCAAGGTGGTGGCACGAATGCCTCATACAAAGTATATGTATCTGTGCGTGTTTGTATCTATGCATATAGATATGCATATATGTATATGTGCGTATGTGTATACATAAACACACACATGTATGTATGTAT